TGATATGAAGTTAGGCATGGGGCACAGGTCTGTAAGCCCAGTGCTCTGGGAAGCTGAGGCAGGACAGTCACAAGTTCAAGCCCAGTATGGGACACTTTAGCAACTTATCGTGACTCTTGTCTCAAAATAAAAAAATAAAAAGGGCTGAGTATGTAGCTCAGTGCAAAGGCCCTGAGTTCAATTCCCAGTATGCTGTGGGGGGATGAACAATCCACAAAAATCTAAAGTCATCAAAAACATGAAAAATCACACCCAAGAGTTGTCCAAGGAAACATGACAACCACATGTGATGTGAGATTGTGAATTAGAAAAAGGACAGTAGGGTAAAAACTAAGGAAATTTGAATAAAGTATACATGTTAATGACAGTATAGCAATATAAGTTCATTCATTATGAAAAGTGCTCCACATTAATACTAAGATATTCATGACAAAAGACACAACAGAAATTCTTATTCGGAAGCAGTAGTGTGAAATAGCAGAAGCAAATTTTGAAAAAGGGCTCAGTGGCTTCTTCCTAAGCTAAATATGCACCAATTATTTGGTAGCAGAAATTACACCCCAAAGTATTGACACAAGACCAACAGAAGCATGTGTTTGTACACACATGAGCAAGAATATTCGTAGCCTCTTTATTTCATCATCGCCTCAAACACAGAACAGTGCCAGTGTCCATTAGTAGGAGAATAGATAAACTACTGTATACCACATTATGTGGAGAGAAAGAAGTCTCCTACAGCCGGGCGTGGTGGTGCATGCCTGTAATCCCTGCACTCGGGAGGCTGAGGCAGGAGGATTGCTGTGAGTTTGAGACCAGCCCGGACTACATAGTGAGTTCCAGGTCAGTCTCAACTACATAGTGAGACCCTGTCTCAAAAAAAAAAAAAAAAGTCTTGTACAGAAGAGAGTGCCCCAAGTTTCTCCATTTGTGTGAAGTTCTAAAGCCTTCAATAATGTGTGCTTGAAAGGTGGCTGGTGAAATGGAAATGTGATAGAATAAAATACACATGGGGCTGAGGGTGTGGTTTACTGGGAGAGCACTTGCCTAGCGTGCAGGAAATCCTGGGTTTCATTCCCCAGCATAATTAGTTAATTCATTAATTAATTAAAAATAGATTTGAGGCCAGGCATGGTGGCGCACGCCTGTAATCCCAGCACTCGGGAGGCTGAAGCAAGAGGGTTGCTGTGAGTTCGAACCCAGCCTGGGCTACACAGTGAGCTCCAGTTAGAGATTTGAGATCCCAAGGAAGTTATGATCCCCCCTTAAAAGGTAACCTATCTCATTAATAATGCTTTATGTTGACTAAATACTTAAATGATAACATTTTGCATAGACGGAATTAAAGTATATTTTTTAAATTAGGTGCATCTTTTTACTTTTAATGTGGACACTGTAAGAATTTTCATTACACATGCACCTTACGTTATAGGATTTGAGATCCCAAGGAAGTTATGATCCCCCCTTAAAAGGTAACCTATCTCATTAATAATGCTTTATGTTGACTAAATACTTAAATGATAACATTTTGCATAGACGGAATTAAAGTATATTTTTTAAATTAGGTGCATCTTTTTACTTTTAATGTGGACACTGTAAGAATTTTCATTACACATGCACCTTACGTTATAGATATGTTGTTGCACAAGTGTTACATGGTGCTGATCTAAAACTAGGAAATAAGACAAAGTCCCCTAAGATGGAGGCAGGGGGATCTGGAGTTCGAGGCCTCCCTGGGAGTTTAATGAGACCCTGCTTTGAGATACTGGCAAATATGTGTGCCGGTACTTATTATCCTGTAGGGCCTGCTTCAGCGGTCAGACAGGACACCCAGGGGGGGACAGGAAACGCCTGACTTCAGAAACCTCGAGGCTGTGCTATGCCAGAGGGGAACTGTGAAGTCTTCCTCTTCCGGCCTCTCCACTGTGCCCCGGGGATGGGGCCCAGGGCCTAGGGCACGCTAGGCAAACACACTACCCCAGAGCTGCAGCCCAGCCCCAGAGGGGGAATTCTAACCTGGAACTTCCCTTTGGAGCTTCTCCCAAAGAGAAAAAGGCACCCAGTGAAGAAATAAGGGGGACTCCTGTCACTGTCACCGGGCTGGGTCTGAGAGCTTCCCAAATTTCACCTACCCTGCTGTAGCATCACAGAGAGAGGATTTTCAGGATGCCTCAGACAGGCCTGAGGAAGTTTTATCAGGCAGAGAGAGGGACCATAGTGTGCACTGAAGAGGAAAGGAGTGCAGGTGCTCAAAGAAATGAGATGCATTACAGTCTGGGACTGGGTACGTTTATACTTCTCTTGTGGGTGTGAAAAACTAGAGATAAAAGTATCCACCTTTGTGGGCATGGTGGTGCATGCCAGCACTCAGGAGGCTGAGGCAGGAGGATCACCATGAGTTCAAGGCCAGCCTGGGCTACATAGCGAGACCTTGTCTCAAAAACAAAAACCAAAAAAAGTGCCCACTGACCTCCCTCAAAAGGCTGCCAGCCTGTTCACAGGCATGGTCAGGTTTCTTTGGTGGTTTTTAAAACATTCTCTGGATTGCTTCAACGTGTTGTTTACTTTCTTAACTGGCCCAATTTCTGGTCTTCAAGTGATGAGTGTGATAGGAAAGGAGAGAAAATCTGGGCAAGGACTATTGACACCGAGGCTGTACTTATCTCAGGACCAGGCTTCTATTCCCTACTTTCTTAACCGAGCCAATGTATGGTCTTTTAGGATGGGTCTGGTAGGAAGAAGTGTAAGTTTGGCCAAGGAATGTGGGCATGGGGCTGTCTTGGGTGGCAGCTGAGTCCTGGAAGTCACAGTCATCTTACAAAGTACGATTTTTAGTCATGGTTTCATTGTCTCCTTTCCCCCTATCTTTCTTTCTTCTGTCCTACTTCAACCTGGCTCAACACTCTCAGAAACCCAGGAGTCCTGCCGTTCAGAGCCGATAAAAACAGGCTCAGAGTGACCGAGCTGTCGGTGTGGACCTGTGTTTGACACTAGGTAGGGGCTCCAGTTCGTCAAGGCAAACGGCGCACCAGGCCGAGTCGCAGCAAGGCAAGTGTTCAGGAGCACCGAGGCGGGAGGCAGAGAGGCCAGGACTCCAGCCGAAGCCAACTTCACTGAGTCACAGGGCAACAGGGTTTTTAAGAGCTGAGGCGAGAGGGAGAGCATAAAACACCCCTGTGTGCTAACTGGCTTTGCCCAAAGGAAAAGGGAACTTTCTTGTGACTTCAAGAGAAGTAGGTTTACCACTCAGAACACAGCACCTATGGACGGCAGCTCTTGTGCCCCGGTGGAAACTGGGAAACTGCAGGGCTCTCTTTCTTGATAACATTTCAAAGAGATGGCTCTCTAGTCCCTGAGAAAGACTCCTCCTTGGTTGTAAACTGCCAAGAGACTTGAGACTCACATACATCTGAAATGGGCAGGGAAAGAATTTATAAGACAGTGGAAAACTGGCCTGACATACGAACGACTTGGGTTACAACCTGAATTTTAGTTTTAACTTACAACCAGTCTTGAGTTATGACTCCAATGTTGGCTGACTGTGCTTCCAGATGGTCTGATACAGATTTAACCCTTAAAGAGCTCTGGAAGGAACTCTACAACATCCTTCCTGTGTGGGGTTATCTGAGAAATCTGGGACCAGTGTCTCTCTAAGGACACTGAGATCTGCCTGTACCCAAGAGAGAGACTTTGAAGGCTGTGTAGAGGAGCCTGAGCGTTCAATTAATGAATTCAAGTTACAACCATCCCCAGTGAATGATTTGAGTTCATAAGTCAAGGGTCCACTGTACCTTATTTAACGTAAACACTATGAGAAGGGTGGCAGAGCCCCTCCGGGTAGGCCATCACAAGTCTAAGACTTAGGGTCAGAGGGACATCAGGGACCCTGCCAGTAGGAAGAAGACCGTCTAAAGTCCAGTCACGTGAGGAGGACATTAAGGTGAAGGCCACCATGCATCCAAGATGGACACTATCTAGGTTCGAATCCAGACTCTAGTACTGGATGGCCTGGAATGAGTTTTTCAACCTCTCCAGGCCTGGATGTCCTTATCTTATAAAATACAGATGTTTAATACTTACCTCACGGGACATGGCTTATACATTAAATATATTAATCCAAGTATATCACTTACAAGGGCACCTGGCACGTAATAAATGTATTACTTGATGTTGGTTTAATTACTTTACCACTCTGAGCCTCAGTTTCCCCCATTCTATCTCAGGATTTATGTGCAAAATTAAGCGAGATCATGGATCCAAACACTGTTAGAGCAGGCCTGGCATCCAGCAAGGCTTTCCTTAATCACTAACATTCTTATAAAAATAGTGACTGATGCTCCCAATCTGTTCAGATCCACATACAGTACTTGCCTTGAGTAATGACAGCCCACGCTTATTTCCTGTTTTGTTACTACACCCACTATTGCTGTCTCGTTTTTATTATCTCATACTGTTCCCCACGGTTAATAGTGACACTGACAATATTTCTATTATCTCACTATTCTCCACATCTCAGTCCCCTTACATCAAGCAGTTCCGCTGCCTATCAGGACCTCTGATCTCAAAACTGCAGGGTTTTTTCCCCCTCTGCTTGGGAGAAGACAAAGGTGGGGCTCAGGTCCAAGTCCCCAACACTGAAGCTGAGGCCAACACCAGCAATATGGGCCCTCTGGACAAGGGGGACATAGGACAAAGCTCCCTAAATTGTTGAAAGCCCCATTCCCACCCTCCCTATGCCCCTTAATGGTTCCGCCCAGTCTCCCCCCTTGCCCATGGGATTACCCACAAACAGGCTGGACCCTGGGAGAGCAAAGAAATTCAAGCCACAGACTCCACCTGGGCTACTGCTGTGGGCCTCAGCTTCTCCAAGTGCAAAAGGTCTTCTTGTCTTGCCAGCCCTAGCTCAGCTTCAAGAGAGTATAGTACGAGAAACAAATGAGGTGGAAATGACTCCTTAAAGTACCATACAAAGCAATTAAATCTTTATTGAAGTCTTTCTGTGCCAGAAACTGGCCACACAGAGGCGAAAGACACAGTCCCTGCCCTGGAGGAGCTCACAGTCTAGTAACAAGACAGAAGACATGAAGGTTCCCACAGAGACACAGCGGCCATTGCTGTCCCACCTCCCACATTCCTGCCTGGCCTTGGGGAAGTGAACAGGAAGCTTCTTTTCTTCCACCCTCCCTGGGGCAGTGGACTTCTCCCACTCTGTCCTGGGCACCATGAGAGGGGTGCAACTGCTATCTCAAGAAGCTAGAACACCCCAGCAGTATATATACAACAGTAACTTTTATTTCCCAAAGCCGCAAACCAGTGCAGCAGAAGCTGGGGAATACTGGGGACATCAGAAGAAGAGGGGCTGGGCCAGCCCAGTCCAGTTATGGGAAGCAGAAGTAATGGGAAGAGTTGGTACCCAGGGCCAGGGAAGTAGGGTGAGAAGGAAGTTTTCAGGTGGAAAAGCTCATAGGAGGGTGCCCCCAGCCACAGCCAGCAGAAGAGCTGCCAGCGCAGCCCCAGGAGCTGCAGAGCCCTTACTTGAGGGTGTCGTGGGCCAACCTTTTGAAGGGTACTGCCCCACATTACTTCGGTCCTGGTGGCCGGCCGCACCTCCAACCAACCTTGACTCATCTTTCTGGGAGGCACTGGGTTGGACTTCATGGGGGAGAGTCTGGCTGGTTGGGGTTGGGGTGGGTTTGGTGGTAGAGGTGAGGGTAGTTGGGGCTGGGGTAGAAGCAATGACAGAGGTAGTTGGAGCTGGGGTGGTATGAGCTGGAGTGGTTGGAGGGGGCAGGAGGACAAGGTGTGGGATTCGTGGGGAGAAGTAGGTCTTGTTGTGGAGGTCTGAGTTACAGCGGGATCCCTGGCAGCAGGAGCCACTGAGTGTGAACCCGGGGCCCGTCACCCCATCTCGGGTACACAACTCATCCTGGACACAGCCCCGGACAGGCAAGGACACAGTCACATTAGCTGCAGGAGGGAGAAACAGAGAGGTCAGCGGCTGGATAGAGGAGGTGGGCACAGCCAGAATGAGGCACAGGGACATCTGGAGCAGGGCATGATCAGAGGACCCAAAAATAGGACAGAAGGGCTCGACACCCAATGATGAAAACAATCTCAGATCTGATCCCACCCTGCCAAATGGGGTCCCACTGTGTGTGGCACACCGGGGGCCACATTTTCACAGTGCTTTCAGAGGAATAATGTGTACCTTGAACTACAAGTCTACCTTGAAACAAAGGGTTAGACTACAATACACACCTCTCCTAGGACCAAAGAACAGAATGAGCTTCCCCTGGGTCCCCCTCACCATCCCACACCCAACCCATCTCTATCAAAATTTAGTCTTCGAGCCAGAACTACAGCTCCCATAGAACCCCACGCATGGGATGGGCGGAATAGCTTATCCCCCCCACCCCCTTCTGAAGTAGGGGCCAGGAAGCTGACCTCATCTGCCTAATACTCTGGGTCAGGGGAGCAACCCTGAGCTTCAAAGGTTCAGAACCATATTTCCCACACTACGTGAGCAGAAGGTTAGAAGCTCAAACACATTTCCCACTGCATGTTCTCCCGTTCTGCATTTGCCATCTCCCTCTATGAAAACGCACGCCCCCCACTTTTTTGTAGGATAACAGCATCCCTATCACCAAGTTATGGTTATGGGACTGCATTTCCCGTGATGCTCCAATCACAGTTCCCAGAATGCGTCAGAGGTGGAGGACTCAACAACCCCACGCCACCACCCAGAGCGCTGGGGCTCGCTCACCTGCGGTCAAGGTGACGTTGCCGTCAAAGCAGCCCTTGTAGACTCGGTCACTGGCGTTGTAGCAGCTCACGACGGGCGGCACAGTACCCTGACACTTCTCGTGGCTCAGCCCCACGCAGCTGTAGCACTCGGCGCCGTTGGGCTTGTTCGCGGTCTCGTTGCCTGCAGGGGAGCCTCGAGTCAGAAAAGGGTTCGCTGGTATGGGCGTGGCCATCGCCGTCTTGACGACGCCCCTACTCCTAGTCCCGCCCCCAGCCCCGCCTCCCGGGACTGTGCAATGAAGCCCCACCCGCTGTTTTCAGCTCCTGGTAGCCGCCCCACCGCCCCCGACCCACGGACCTGCGGGGTTGAGCCCTCGCGAGGTGAGGTTGAGCTTGGCGTTGCAGCGGTCCTGAGCGCACTGCTGCAGCTGGATGAAGGCCAGGAGCCCGTGGAGGTCCAGTCCGCGGTCGTTCTTGCCGGGGAGTCCCGAGCCGCAGCCTCTCACTGCCACCGAGAACTGCCCGTGAACTGCGGAGAGGGAGGGGGCGGGTCAGGGGCGGGGCCTCGAACGCCAGGACCCCCGGGGGTGGGCAGTCTGGGGGCGACCGGCAGGGGCCTCCCTAGATGGCAGAGGAGAGGACGGCGGAGGGCGGGGCGGGGTCCTGGAGACCAGAGCCCCAAGGAACAGACGGCCACCAGATTCGAAGGGGAGGCCAGCAGTGGGGCGAGGACCACGCACTGCCTAGGGGTCAGAGCTGCAGAAAGCAGCAGGAGGACTAGCGAGAGAATGAAGAGAAAGGCGCAGGGCCCGAGAGGAGTGACCTGGGAGAAGGGGTCCCTTAGCCGATTCTGTGGGGGTGGGATTGTAGAGGACGGACTGGCCATCGGGGGCCTCCGCAGAGGGCATCAGAAGGGCTGAGCCTTGGGCACCCAGAGATCCGTCTTAGAATATTCTCTACGAAGATTCGCTTCAGGATAGCAGGGTTGGGGCGGCGGGGCGGTTTGCAGGACCCAAATGGAAAAGGTGGCCTCGTCCCAGACCCGCATGGTCCCAGGGCCTCACAACTCTCAGCCGCCCCCATCCCTGTCATCCCCTAGAAGGAGGGGCCAGGCTGTGCTGGAGAGTCCTGGTCAGGATGAATAGGAGGGACAGGCCGAGTTAAAGGGGTGTGGCCCGGCTGAAGGAGCCCGAAGAGGGTGCGCAAGGACCCCAGGGTCGCACTCACTGGTCTCCACCGCCCCCACGGTCTCCGTGCAGACGTCCACACCCGGCGCGCACTTCACCGTCTTCATCTTCCGTGCAGAGCACCCGTCGTCCGCTTTCTGCACACAGCTGTAGCACTCCAGGGCCTGCGCTCCTGAGGGTGTGGGGTGGAACAGAACTGAGCTGTACGTCCTCCCACAGAGGGGAGAGAGCCCTTCCCACGCCCTCATCCCTCTGTCCCCTGCATGAGACGATCCTACTGCGCAGCCTTTCCCGGGGCAGCAGCGGAGGAAACCTTCCCACACATCTGGGCCACGGGGTAACTCGACCCTTGTTCTGCACGCCACCTGTGCCTACAGCGGGAGCGTCCTTCCCACAGCTCCACAGGCCCCAGGAAGAGGATCCCTGACGTGATGCCCCTCGTGCCAGGGTAGGAGCGATAGGTTCCCACGGTCTCTGCTCAGGGTTGGAGAAATTTTCCCACAGCCAGCGGTACTGAGGATCCCTTCCACTGTGCCCTCTGAGCTGGGCGGAGGACCCTTCCCACAACACCTTTCTGTTCAAGAGGAGAGGACCCTCATGGCCCCTCTGCCCAGGGCAGGGAAACTCTTGCCACAGCCTGCCTGTACCCAGGATGGAGACCTTTCCCCGCAGGCCTGTTGCTGGTGCTGAGCCTCCCCTAGTAGGGGGGGGGTCCTCCTCCCTCAGAGCCCCTACTCTACCTCCAAGACTTTTCAGTGGCAGACCCACCTTCACGAAGTAGCAGCGACAACAGTAGGAGCCAGCCTGTGGTCCAGATCGCCACCCAGACACCTGCTTTCCTGGCGGAGACCATGGCTCCGTCCTGCTCCCTCGGCGTCCCCCCTGGGTGTGCCGCCTCCCAACCGGGGCCCTCTTACCTGAGTCCTGGATGAGTAACCTACCCTGGGGCAACCCTGGCCTTGCCCAACCGGGCCAAGTCAGCGTCCGTTGTGGGGTGCGTGGGCACGCCCCTAGGTGCCTCACCCACAGGGAGAGCGGCTGCAGTCCTAAGCAGCTGCCACGGAGGGAAAGGGCAGAAGTTGAGGTTCCCTCACATTCTCTGAGAGAAAGTCCGTGTTTGGGAACGGGGAGAAATGGAGCTCCAGGAGAGGCAGGAGCTATTCAGCATCAGCATTCACTATCCAACGAGCAAGGACACTCGCTTTGATCTGGGAGATGTGGGAGAGTAGGAGAACGGATGCCTCTCCTCTTCAAACGAGCTGCCCCAGTCTGATGTGGGAGACACAGGTGAACTAATCGTGCCCGCTTCTTTATTATGGAGACCCGGGCAACAAAGATGTGTAGGGAGGGATGGAGTCTAGCAGCGGGCCTGGTTTTCCTGAGGAAGACCCGAAACGTGACCTCAGCCACGAAGTTCTGAGAAGTCAAATGGAGCAGGTGGGAAAAGCACTCTATAAGCGGCTCATAGGAAGAGGGAGTGATGGGACGTAGCACTGGCCCTTCACAGGGAGGAGCGCAGTGTCCGGAGCTCAGAGGGCTGCCTGAAACCAACTGAACCCTATAGGTATTGTTTTTCTACTCACAGAAGGGTAGGAACTGAGGTGGAAGAGTCAGGCAGCTCTGAGAGGAGATTTGGATTAATTCTGAGAAAGGCGGAGAATGTCTGAGAGGCTCCACATCGGCTGGGGAAACCAACCTGTAGAGAGAAATCAGACCAGGGCTGCCTCGGTAGGGCCCTTGCCCCTGAAGGAGCATAGAGGAGCCCCGTTCTCTGTGTAAGGAGGTAGTTACTCGTGTGCACACATCGGTGCAGAGTCACAGAGCTGCACCAATATGCCCTTCACTGCATTCTGATGTTCAATAAACACAAAGAAAGCCAGGCATGGTAGTGCATGCCTGTGACCTTAGCAGCTACTCTGCAGGCTGAAGCAGGAGGATCAGAAGTTTGAGGCCAGGCAGGGCAATTTAAGATTCTGTCTCAAATAAAATAAAAGCGCTGGGTAGGTAGCTTAGTGGCAGATGCTTGCCTAACATGTGCAAGGCCCTGCCTTCAATCCTGAGTACCTACCCCGACTCACGCACACAAAGGGAAAGGGGCAACCATGGCCTCTGTGTAAAAGAAGGAAAAGGAGGCCAGAGGGAGTGAGGAGCCCAATAAGGGAGCCAGCTTCCCCTGAGAGTCTGAAGTTGGCTTGGCCCTCACAGAAGGGCTGTGGGGTTCTCCTGTCCATAACCTCACAGAACACCAATGTAGGCCAAGGTCACAATTACTGTGAACGATCAAGACAAGAATCAGAATCACTCCGTGACCGTGTCTGAGCACAGAGACAAGATCATCGGGCAAACCACAAAATGACTAAATATCCCCATATTTTAGCTAATCTAAGTGACTGTTTATATTAATATATTAGTATAAATTATGACTTGAATCTTGCTTTCTCTTGCTTCATAAATAAGATTTTTAAAAACATCCAACCATTAGCATAACCCCTACTGTGTGATCCAATCTAGAGTGAAGCCTAAATTCCTTCAGTTGCCTCCAAAGTGACCACACTTCCGTCCAAATCTTAAATCCTTTTTAATGCCCTCTTACTGGAACACCTCATGCATCCTCCATGGTGTATGTTCTCCCTCATCGCAGGAACAAAGCCGACTTGGCAAGGCAAGAGATATTACTTGGCCTAGCATAGTGGCAAAAGGATCCAAAATATTTGAGGAAGAAGCCCAGCAGGAATACCTGAGGGATCAGAAGAGAGACAGAAAGCCAGATAGGGAGGCAGAAACCTATAATCCTAGCACTCTGGGAGGCTGAGGCAGGAGGTTCACAAGTTTGAGCCCAGCCTTGGCAACTTGGTGAGTTAGCAAGAGCTGGTCTCAAAGTCCAAAATAAATAGGGCTGGGAATGCAGCTCAATGTGAAAACCCCGAGTTCAATCCTGAGTTCAATCCCCAATATTATACCACCAAAAATAAAATAAAAAAGGAGGGAAGAGGCAGTGGGAGGTTTCTAAGAGCATTTGGGATAGCTGGAAACCACATCCTGACAGTGATAACAACGACAACAAAAGTAACAGTAACAATGTCTGAGTATCCAATATTTACTCTGTATCAGAAACTCTTCTAAACACAAGCATTCAATGCCCCTTTAATCCTCACCTTTAAGATAAATGTGTCTGAGGTCATTTACTGAACACCCACTCTGTGCCTCCTCTCTGACCAGTATGACAGCTCCACAAAGGGAGGACTTCGCCCATTTCACAGATGAGGAAACTGAGGCTGGGAGAGGTTTGGAAGTGACTTGGAACCTGGGGCTGTCTCCAAAGACCTCTACTGCTGCTTATTAGGGTGGGAGCCTGATCTTCAACCTAAGATGATATTTTGCAGTGACCCTCAGTTTTGGAGCCAGCCAGACTTGGGTGTCCATCCCAACTCCGCTACTGACTTGCAGTGTGACTTTGGACAAGTGGCTCCCATTCCTTGATGTTCAGCATCCTTCTCTACAGACAGAAACAGTGACCAAAGCATTCTTATTCATCCTTCTTCGTGTCCTGCTGGCTCTTTCCCATCCTTTGCACACAACAACCCCATGAGAGATTTTTAAGGATAGTCGATTTACAAGTGGGGGCATTGAGGTAGAGAAAGGTTGAATGACTTGCCCAGGGTCACATGGCTAGGAAGGGATGGAGGCAGTGTTCAAACCGAGGCAGTGTGGCTTGAGAACGGCAGATAGGTGTGTGGATACACTGGTTACCAGCTGTGAAACCTTGACACTCCCTTGGGCTCTGCGCACCTTAGTGTCCACATCTATGAAATGGAGCCCCTACCACTACCCACCTCCTAAGAATGCCGTGGGGATTAACATGAAATATATGTGAAATGCTGCATAGGGGGCTTGGTTGTAGGTATTATTAGTATTGCTAACAGCAAGTTAAGTTGATTATTATTAGTTATTATTAGCCCCCACATCTTGAGTCCCAGCTACAAGCTAAACAAGGTGCACATGAGCAACCTCTTCTTGATTCCCAATGCAGGGTAGAGAGAAGCAACTATTTCACCCAAGAGGAAACCAAGACCGAGAGAGGAAGGTGTTTGATCAATTTCACACAGCAAGGGAAGCACCCAAGTCGGGTCCACTTGGCTGGCTCGCTGTTCAATGGCAGGAAAAATAGTGGCTGTGGAAAATAGTGTCCCCAGATTCTGTTGGCACCCTGCTCCCCAACAATGACAGGCACCTCAGTCACCGAGGTGGGGTCCCCTGGCATCCTGCTGTGGCTCAGAGAGAGAAAGTGATGACTTCTTGTGAGGTCATCCAGCCCTGGCCCCTGCCTTCCAGTCTTGGAATCCCAGCTCCTCTTCTGGTTGGCTGTGTGACCCTGCACAAGTGTCTTCACCTCTCTGAGGCTCCAGGGTGTCCTTTTAATAACGGAGGGGCTGTCTTTCATGGTGGAGTGAGTCAGTGGAATTGGACAGTGGAAAAGTCTGGAATTGGACAGGCTGAAATTTCATCCCGAGTCTAATTCAGTCTCCCTCTCTGATCTTCAGCTGCCTCCTTTGATAGTTAAGTCTGAAAATCCCTACATCCTGAGGAACAGAAGGAGAGCCCAGGCGAGGTGATAATGCTATTGCAGTATTGTGTGCTTGAGAGCAGGAGGCCCTGCCTGTCCCAGGGGCCCAGAAGCGTGGGAGAGTTTCAGGGAGGGACCACAACTGGCCTGACCTGAAGAACTAGCGTCTTGCAAGGGAGTGGGACCCAGGGAGGGGAGCCTCCTCTTGCTCAGGCCTGCCCGGCTCCTGGGTTGCTGACCCGCACCTGGCCCAGGACCAGAGACCAGTGGGAGTTCTGAATGCATGGCCTCCATTTAGGGCTGTTGCCTGCCCAGCCTCTTCCAGATCCTCTCTGCAGACTGTACTACCGGGAAATTCTCAAATCTGGTTCCCAAGTAGATCAACAGGGGAGGTGGCCCCAGGGTTGGAGGTCAAGCTTGGGCCTCAGACAAGCCCGAGGCCACGTCAAGGCCGGCACAGGCCAGGCTCTGACCTCAGCCACACCCTCTGGGTCACACTGTCTGGGAGGTATCAAGGGAGGGGTGGGCAGAACCAGCTGTATAATTTGGGGGACCCACTGCAAAATAAAAATACGTGAACATAGTTCAAAAGGCAAGAATGTGTAAAGATTCTAAACTATGAAGTGTTTGTTTTTTCAACCTCGATGTCTCTCCTAACTCCTCATGGTGTTTAACGCCACATTCCCTTGGGCATATGGACACTCGCGGGGACAGCACAGACCCACATAGGAGGCCATCTGACTACCTGGTTGCCGGATTCTCCTTCCAGCCTCTACTGCTACCAAGCTGCACTTCAAGATGCCACGGAGGAAAAACGGAAACAAAGTCTTTGTAAATAGGGAAGGGTAGAAGGGGTGAAGGGAGGGCAGGGGAATGGGGAAAAAATAAGAACCAAGGTACATCATGTAAAAATACAAGATCCCAATGGTGAGTGTAACTGTACTGTATACCTAAAAAGTACCAATGAACTTAATGAAACAAAATTTAAAAAAAAAGATGCCACTTGTCACGAAGGCCCACCCTAATTTCCCCATGCCTGTGTCCAGGCCCCTGTCAGAGGCAGAGGGTGACAGCGGGTCATGAGGCAAGGACAAGACGGGGAAGGGAGACTTAATCTGTGCTGGGGAGGTGGGAGGCAGTGGGTGGGATCGCTAATGACCTAGGGCTCCAATCCCCCATCACACGCCACTGACACAAATTCAGAGGTAAAACTAAGCCTCTCCAAGCTGGCTGCATCGGCGCATGCTTGTAATCTCGGCACTCTGGGAGGCTAAGGCAGGAGGATGGAGAGTTCGAGCCCAGCCTGGGCAGTTTGGCAAGACTGTCTTAACAAGACTGTCTCAAAACATTTTAAAAGAGCAGGGGATGCAGCTCAGTGTGGAGGCCCTGGGTTCAATTCCCAGTATCACAACCCAAGGGCAGGGATCTCACAAGCATGGGAAGCTGCTGATTGCCCAGAGTAAGAGGGCTGGTGCTGGGGCTGGGGCACGAACTCACACTAGGGTCCCGGAGGAGGTGGGGATTCTATGTCCGCATTCCCAGGACTCAAGAGCGCTAGGATCTTCAAGGGAACTGTTAGGGGGAAGGAAAGAGCTGGCTCCAGAGAAACAGCCTAGTGTGCTCAGGTGGGGTACCAGGGGACTGTACAGCCAGAAGAGCAGGCACCTGACCCATCCTGGGAGCCAAGGAAGTTTCCCTCAGGAGGGAACAGTCTAGACGAGACTTCAAAGATGAAGTCAGCCAAAGAGCTGCCTTATTCACAGCGGTCTCCAGCCTTCCCAATCACTTCCTTGCTAACTCGTTCAAACATCAGACAATCCCTCAATACCTAAGCTGCCCTATCTAAGCCCTCTGTCCTCAGTAGTGACAGAGACACCCCCAGTCCCACCTCCTGGAACTCCCAGTGCAGAGGGAGAGACAGACACCTCAGCAGGGCCCAGTAGAGAGGAACAGACAGGCTCATCCGCAGCAGCGATGGCCTAAGGCAGTTGAGGACGAGATGGGAGACACTCAGGGTAGAGTCACCGCCCAGAGGGGGCACCTGATTCAGCCAGGACAATCAGACAGGGCTTTCTGGTGAAGGAAACACTCCAACACAAGGTAAAGGGCTGAAACGAGATGGGCAGGAGTGTGGAGAAGGGCTTAAACAAAGAGGTGACAAGGACGCCTCTTCTTTCTTTTTCACTTTCGTGGAGAGATTTGCCCTACGGCGCTGGGGGCTCAGAAGTCACCTGAGGCGCCCTGGCTGTCCTCGCGGATCGCGGAGCACCCCTTCTATAAGGCACACAGACCATCACCAGTGACAAGCCGGGGTGCTCAGGGATAGGCTGGGGAAGGCTCCAAAGGAGGTGCCTGGCCCAGGCAGGAGAGTCCGGGAGGACTTCCTAGAGGAAAGGGCTTGCTGAACTAAGACCTGAGCAATGAGGAACTGGCTGGTTAAAGAAAGGACAGAGGGACAAAGACGCGCGAAGGCCTGGAGGAAGGGCGCCCAGTTCACAGAAATTGCCAACAGGCCAGTCAGGCCAGAAAATTTAAAAAAAGCAAAACCCTAAGGACATGTCTCCCACCCCCACACCCGTCTTCGAGCCAAGACCTTAGTTTCGAAGGTCTTCATTCCTAAAGAGAAAACCGGCTGTGGAACGCGTGGCTCCCAGAGGTACCCTTGGCTCGGAGGTCCTGCCTAGGGGCTGAACCACCCGCCCACACACACACCTGGGCTGGAAACCACAGCAACAACTCTTGCTTTCCACCATGTTTAATTCGGTATCACACACAGGAGGACCAATAAATAGTTTCTTCCAACCCCGAACTCTTCCTCTTGCCCCAGGCAGTGCTTCTGGTGATCGGGCGTCTGGAAAAAGGCACCTGCAGCCCAGAACCTGTGGCTCAGACCAGCTGAGCCGCAGCGGCTGTAGCGTTCTCTAAAGAGGGCTAAGGGGTGGGCCCAGGTATAGCCGGCAGTGGGCGGGGCCTAGAAACAACGCCGCGTGCGTGGGTGGGCGGGGCCTCTCTAGACGTCCCAGGTGGGCGGGCCCGCTCAAAGGGCGTGGTTCTCATCAGCTGCAGTCACGATGACGTCCATCCAAATGCGCATGGCCTCAGGGCTCGGGGCCACCATGTAGAAAAGGCGTTCATAGGTTTTGACACAGAATGTCAGGCGGGGGTTGGGGCTCTGGAATAAACAGAGAAGAGGGTAGTTAGGGGTATACAAGACACAGCCTATGTTCGAATCCCCGCCTTGCTATTTGTTTTGGTTTTGCTTTTGGTACTGGGGATCGAACTCAGGTCCTTAAGCTTGCAAGGCAGCGATTTAAATCCTCAGTTCTCCCAGTCTTGGTATTCACAAGCTGAGTGCCAGTGGACAGCTTATTAATACTGAATTTCAGTTTCCCCATCTGTCTTCCTACTCTCATTGGGTTAAGAGGATCACTTGAATTAACACAAGAAAACGCTATAGAGTGGTATTATTAAATTGGGAATAAAAGGAATTTAACAAGAGGATCAGTGTCCCCTTCCCTCGGCCTTACTTTCTAAGAAATATAGGCATTCTTATTTTATATTAGAAATACAGGGGCCCAGGGATTTAGTTCAGTGGTTCTGCCACCTGCCTTGGGAGTGCAAGGTCCCAAGTTCAATCCCTGGTACCGAAAAGAAAAAAAAAACAAGCATTGGCCTATCATGGTGGTGGATGCCTATAATCCCAGCACTCAGGAGGATGAGGCAGCAGGATTAAGGCAAGTTCAAGGCCAGCCTGCACTACATAGTGAGACCCTGTACCAAAACAAACAAAAATACAGGTATTTAGTGCTCCTTTGGCAGCACATATACAAAAATACCTAATAGACACTAATAAAAATGTATTTTTGAAAGCTCCACCTCCCCACAAAATCTAGATCCCCTGGTTTGTGACTGGAGAAGGTATCTAGAAACCATTAACTGAGTACCTCCTTGCTAAACCCACAATCTCTTACACCCCTTATGTTTTTAACCCTGAGAGAATGGGTTGAAATATACCCGTTCTGCAGATAAGAAAACTAAGGCTGGAGAAGAAAAGTCATTTTCCTGATGTTAACCCGCTGAGAATCCAGTTTAAACTTTAAAAATCCATGGTTGGCTCCCTCTCTACAGAGAACTCTCAACATTGTATCTGTTGCCAAGATTTAAATTTTTGGCACTGCACTTTTATAAAGGAAAAATAAATTGCACGCCACGGGGCTCATTCCCGTTTGGTCAAAAGCCGAGCAATGACAGTTTCATTTAGACGATCCCATCTCTTCCCAGCTTGGCATCAGAGTTGAACAACTTTTTCATTTTCCTCTCTTTCTTCCAGCGCTGAGGATCGAACCTAGGGCCGATGCTTGCTAAGCACACACTTTACCACTGCACTACACTTCGGGCAGAGTTTGTCACATTCTTGCTTGAAATGTTTTTGTCCAAGAAAATTAATAGTGATTGAGAGCCAGAGTTTGAGCTCTTCATTTGGATCCGTGCAGCACCAGGAGCTGTTGGCCTCTTGTGCTGGACAGCGAGGCCCCTGCAGTACTGGGTGTGGGTGGCTTTCCCCAGGATGAGCCAAAGAAGCAGACAGGAGGACGGAGGCTCGGGGCAGGGCTTTACCTTGAAGGCGCTTCGCAAGTGGTCATAGTAGACTTCCTCGATGGCCTGGAAGTAGATGACACCTTTGAGCTTGGTCTGTTCCTTATCTGGAGGAGGAAGATGAGGGAAAAATACCGAGAGGTCTGTCTGTCTGTCTGAGGTCCGAGTCATTGGGCTCAAGAGGAACATGGTGCCGCTGTCTGAAGGTCCGTGAAGTACCAGGGATGGGACACGAGTGGAGGTCGAGATTGGGCAAACCGGGGCTGGGTCCGGGCGCTGGAGTCCCAGGCCCCCGACCAAGGGGAGGAAGCCAAGGAGGGCTCCGAACCACTGAGTCCCCTACAGAGGGAGGTGGAGTCCCAGGCTACTAGAGTTGGGGTGGGAGCATCTCAGGAAAATGGGGTCTAGGAGACAGAACTGCACTACCTGGATATCATGGAGGAGGCTATGGGTCTGATTGTGGGGGGCTTAAGGGAAAAGGGGCGGGGGAGCTGGACTCCTGAGCCCCAGGAAAGAGGGCTGGACCCAAATTCCTGGGTGCAGGAAAAGGAGCTACAGGCCCCAACTCCTGAATTCTGCGGGAGGGTTAAAGTGGGGTCGAGGACTCCCCCAAGCCCAGGTTCGGGAAAGGCATCTGGGATGCCCCAGGGGCCCAGGATGGGGTTACCCGCGTAGTAGGCCAGGCGGCGGGCCTGGCGGTCAAAGCAGAACCATCGCTTCCTCCAGGTCTTGATGCGGCCGCCCATCTTCACCAGGGGTCCGCGACAGCAGCCCCCGGACACCCGCACGTGCGGGCAGCTTTCGGGGCTGTGGCCCCAGCGCTCCAGATGCTGCCGGAGATCCAAGATGTGCGGGGCCGCAGGGCAGGGTGGGGATGCGGGCGGGGCCTGCGGGGGAGAAAGGGCCCCTGAGGTAGGGGCTGGTGGGGGCTGCAGCCTGGATCCCTCCCGCCCTCCATGGCAGAGGGTGAAAAATGCTTCCGGGGCTTTGTGAGCACCGACTCCTTGACCCATAGGACAGTGGTGCTGAGCCCCATTTTACAGATGAGTAAACTGAGGATGAGACCAAAGTCCACCCGAAGTCACACACTTCTTCTAGATGGCAGCGCTAGAGCGCACCCCCAGATATTCCAGACTCCAGAACTCATCCTGAAACCCCAGGTATGTATCAGAGAAAGGGCCATGGATGGGGGCAGGCTCCCCAAATTGGGGCCCCTGTGCCACTCTGTGAAGTTGGGACCAAATAGTAAGTGATCCATACATGAACTTGGTTTGTATGATTATTGTTTTCACTACAATCAAATTAGAAATTATTATCTTGTGCTAAGCACTTTCTACGTATAAGATCTGCTCCCTCGAGCCAGGAGTAAGTACTATATATCGGTCCCTATTTTACAGAAGTGGACACCAAGACTCAGAAAGGTTACATCTCTAGATCTAAGTCACACAGCCAAAGCTGACCCAGCCAGCATTCATGAGGCAGAGACCTGATGAGATGACAGGTGGTCATAAAGGGAAAAGGAGAAGACGGAAGCCATTGAAAATATCTACTGTTTGTTAGAGCCACAGCCAGCGGCCAGCACGATGCCTTCTATTCTTTCTGAATAACACATCACCAAGGTCAAACTGAGCCGTAGGGCAGCGCACCTTAAACCAATTCCGGCAAGCAAAACCCCTGTGAATGTGCACGGATGGGATGTGGTACTGAGGACTGAACTTTCAGCCACACTGAGCTACATCCTCAGCTTTTTTAATTATTTTTTTCTGAGACAAGGTCTTACTAAGTTACTCAGGCTGGGCTCAAATTTGTGGTCCTCCTGCCTCAGCCTCCCAGAGTGCTAGGATTACAGGCGTGCACCACCATGCTGAGCTCCCCTATGGATTTTTCTTTTTTTTTAATGCAGACTGTGTCAGTCACTCCAGAGTAGGGCTTGGAGTAGAGGTGCGGCTCTGCGTGGGAGAGAGGTTCCGGTGGGTTAGGAACACAGATGCTGTGGATCCATCAACCGCACTCTGAGTACAAGGGGGGCTTAGAGTCCTAAAGTGAGAGCAGAGCAAGAAGGGCTGAAAAATAGGTCAGATATATTAGCTGAGACAAAAGAGGGGAAGGAGGCCGTGGGGAAGGACCTGGGGCCCAGGAAGGGAAGGCTGGGTTTACAAACCACCCAGGAGAGCCTGGCGTCTAACAAGGGCACCTGTTCATTCACGCAGTAACCCCGGCACCGCCACCAAGCGCAGAAGCCCCCACTGTGTGTCAGGCACTGGACCACGAGGGCCTTATTATCTCTCCAAGGCCACGCTTTTCCTCATCTGGCAGATGAGCAAAAGGAGGCATCAGGCGAGCAGCGGCTCACTAGGTCACCCACTTAGGACATGGCAGAGCTGAGCTGAGCCCCAGTCTAGGTGCCCAGGGACAGGCGTGGGATTCGCAACTCCATCCCTCCCTGGCTGTATCACCTCCCCGGAATCCCTACGGCTCTGCCAGCCTCCACCCCCCACCTACCCACCCCCGCACTGAGACTCGGGGTTCAAACCCCTGGCGCCCCAGCAGCGGTAGGAAGTCAGCTCAGAGCCCAGGCACTCGGCTTCCAGCCCCTCCTCTGGCGCGTGCTCACTTGCACCGAAGACACGCAGGCCTGGGTGAGGCTACAGTGCACGGAGGGGACCTGTTTAATAAATCATGGTGCCACAAAGCAGGGGAAACCGCTCCCATGTAGCAGTGCTTCATTTTTAATGAGGTCAAGCTCACCCCTAACAACCCAGAAGGCTCCGCTGCCTTTCCCACTTTATCTGGCTCCCCACTCTAACAGCATTTGTTACGCTGTTCATTTTACTTATTCATGTTGTTTCTGTCTATGGTCCCCACTAAACATCAGCTTCCGGGAGGGCAGGGCTCTTTATTAGGGTCAAGGCCGTAACCCAGGGCCTAGAACACAGTGGGTGCTCAATATTAAAAAAACCCAAAAAAACTAAGAACAATGAAGGACAGAAAGTTACCCAAGGACATGCTGTTCATCAGATGACTGAACTGAAGTGGGAACAGAAATCCGACCCTTAAGTTCCCCTTCCCTTCCCAAGCCCCTGATGCTTTTTTCTAGCATTGGAGGAAAGAGTGAGCCCTAAGAAAGGAGCAAATGCACAGGGAGAGAAGGCAGAGAGGGCAGAGGCGGGACTGACCATGATAGCAGGAGCAGCTGGTCCTGCGGAAACTTCCGTGGTCCTTTCCCGCCCCTCCTGTGGATTTAGGGTGAAGGAATTAATGACATGGGATGAAGATTGGGGTCTGGACCCCGAGTCTGGGGGAGGAGGGCGGTCAGGGTGTTCCCTCCCTAGGGTGGAAGGGCTGGGGTCTCACCCTGGCCTGGCGCAGCCGCTCCCTCTCCGCCACAGCCTGCTGCAGGAGCTGTTCCATGCGGGCGATGTCGGGGTGGAGGACCCGGCAGCTGGGCAGAGAGAACAAAGGTGGGCGTGTTACCGTGGCCGGGCCTCTTCCTCCCGGCGCCTTCTCCCCGACATCTCACCCATTGCTAGGGCCACAGTTCAGCAGCTGATAGAGGGGGTGTCTTCCAGAGGCCCCCGCTGCGGACGCCAGCGCCGAGGCCTCAAGGGCTCCTGGGGAGAGGGGACAAGGTGAGGAGGCGGGGACACTTCAGCCAAGCCCCCCAGCCCTCCTCCCCACCCCCACCCACCCCGGGTCGGACCCCTAAGCCGAGTTCCCCATCCTCCACAGCAGGTGGGTGGAGATAGGGCCGGAGGGTAGGTGGGGAAGGGGAGGCATCCTCACCGGTACAGTGGAGAGACACAGGCCGTGCCGATCCCCTCTGGCTCGCCCTCTCTCCCCGTTTCCGGGACAGGCTTCCGGTCCTCTGGAGCCCAATGGAGCCCTGAAAACACACGAGATCGAGATCGGAGCCCTCGGGGATGATCCCGCTCCCTGGAGAGTCAGAGGCTGCCAAGTACAACCACCACCCAAGTGGCACAGGCCCAAAACCCGACTGTCACGTGGTGCTGTGTGAAAGAAGCCAGCTGCGACTACATAGCCTACTACACATTTATGCTAAGTGGCCAGGGTAGGCAGATTCTATTAATAGACAGGAAGTAGAATAGTGCCTGCCCGCAGCCAAGGTGGGGGCATGGAGGGGTGATGGCTAAGGGGTGCAGAAGTACTTTGGGACTAAGAAAAATATTCTAGAATTGATTGCGATGCTGGTTTCTACAACTCTAAACATACTAAAATGCACTGGGTAGGGGTGCAACTCAATGGCTGAGTGTTTGGTGTTCGATCCTAGGTTCCATTCCCAGCACCAGATGGATATAAACAGATAGATAATAGATTAAATAGATGGATAGATGGCACTTTAAATCAATGGATTGTAGTATACATTAAATATATCTCAATAAAACTGTTCTTTTGTTTGTTTGTTTGATCTAAATGTTCTCAGACAATGAGGGGGTATTTCACTGGAGGAAGCCGAATGGGCTCTGCTGTCCCTCCTTTTTTCCTTCTTTCTTCCATCCTAACTTCCTTCCTTCCTTTCTTGCAGTGTGAGGAATGAGCCCAGGACCCACACTGCTAGCACTGCACCATACCCCCAGGCCAGGACTTTTTTTTAAAACTGAAATGACAGCTGCATCCTGGCATGGTGGTGCATGACTGTAATCCCAGTAATCTGAGAGGCTGAGGCAGGAAGATATTTAGCCTAGCCTAGATATTTAGTGACTTAGTGAGACTCTATCTCAAAATTTTTAAAAAGTGTAAAAGAGGACTGAGGATGTAGCTCAGTGCAAAACACCTGCATTCAATCTTCAGAAAACACAAAAACAAAAAAAGGACAAATGCATAAACCATCGAAGCCCAAATTCTACTCCTAATAACTGATTCTTTTGATGGACAACCCCTGACGTGTGAAAGAACAAGGCTCTTCCCTGAAGTGCCCCAGTGCCAACCAAGGCCTAGAGGTCACCTCGAGCCCCTCAGAGCAGGGCATGGCAAATGCACCACGGCCCCACCTCACAGCAGAAAACTCCACAGCATGTGCAGGCGGAGACAGCTCTTTCCACACAGGCAGGACATGATCTCCAAGACAACCATGTACAGTACACAGCTGGGCAAGAGCAACTGCACCCACGCAGGACATCCAGGAAGACAAGAGGAAACTGATGACCCACCTGCCTCCGGGAGGTGAGCCAGGTGGAAAGGGACCAATAGCAACATCCTCATATACCCCTGGAATTTCCAACTAGGGGGAACACTAGCTTTTAAAAAATCATTGAACATGATAACTGACTGCAACCTGTGTTCCTGGACCAGAAGAAAAGTTTATGTTGGAAAAATTACTAGTGGGACAATCTGTAAAATAGGAATAATGCTGGGCATGGTGGTGCACACCTGTAATCCCAGAATCTGGGAGGCCGAGGCAGGAGGATCGCCGTAAGTCCAAGGCCAGCCTGGACTACACAGTGAGTTCAAGGCCAGGCTGAACTACATAGGGATTGCTTCAATGTGAGTTTCTTGAATTTGATCATTGAACTGTGGTTATATAAAAGAATGGTCTTCACTTTAGGCTACAACTTTACAACTATTTAGGGACAAATACACAGTTCAGAAAACAAAAATACATTGGGTGGAGGGCATGTTATGTATGGAGAGAGAATAATAAAGTGAACGTCAATTTAAGAGTACTTTTTAAAAGACACAAACTTTAAAGAAAATATAAGTCAAGCCTGGTAGCTTATGTCTATAATCCCAGCTACTCAAGAGGATCACAATTTCAAGACCAGCCCAAGCAATTTAGCAAAACCCTGGCTTAAAGTAAAAGATAAGAAAAGGGCTGGAGGTGTAGCTCACTGGTAGAGCAACTATTATTCATAAGCTCCTGGGTTCAAGTCCTAATACCACAAAAATTAAACAAATAAATAAATGAAATGTAAAAATAAGAAAAAGAAAAGGAGAGTAATAAATAAAAAATAAAATATATTTTTCCACTCATGGTGCTGGGAAATCAAAGCCAAGTGCTGCACATGCTACATATATGTCCTACCTCTGTGCCACATCCCTGCCCCTGAAATCATGTTTCAAAGACAAAATAGCAACATTTCTTCATGAGTAATAGAGGATAAAAGGACCAGTTGTAACAAGCTGGGCGTGGTAGTGCACACCTGTAATCCCAGCACTTGGCAGGCTGAGGCAGGAGGATCGATCGCTGTGAGTTCGAGACCAGCCTGGGCTACATAGTGAGTTCCAGGTCAGTCTCAACTACATAGGGAGACCCTGTTTGAAAAAAAAAAAAAAAAAAAAAAAAAAAAGCTAAATCTTAGAAACAGCCCAAATGCCCATCAACTGATGAGTGGATAAAGAAGATGTGTGGGTTTTTTAATATATTGGAGTATTACTCTGCCATAAAGGATAAGCTTGGGCTGGGGATTTAGCTCAGTGGTACTGCTACCTGTCTTGCAAGTGCAAGGTGCTGAGTTTGATCCCTGACATCAAAAGGAAAAAAAAAAAAAGGATGAGCTTGAGATATTTTTGCTAAATGGATGTATCTTGAGATCTTACTCTTCAGTGAAATAAATTGGATACACATGTTTAAATATTGAACTGTTTCTCTGGTGTGAGAAACCAAAAATGTAAATAAGGACGAAAATGTAAAATAGATAATGGTAAAGGAAAAGAAAATGTTCAAATGAGAAGAGGAACAAGGGAGGGGGGAAGAGGAAAGAAAAGAAGGGACAAGGAGCAAAAGAGAATAGAAGGAAAAAATGGAAACAAAGCTTTTTTAAATAAGAAGGAAAGGGTTAAAGAGAGGAGAGGGGGATGGGGAAAAAAAGGAGAAGCAGGATATGTCCTGTACAAGTACAAATTCCCTACAAAGAACGTTATCATTATGTGCATCTAAAATGTACCAATAGGAGCCAGGGCTTTAGCTCAGCAGCACCATGTCTCCATCCTGGCAAGTGCACGGTCCTGTGTTTGATCCCCCGTACCGAATAAAATAAAATGCACCAATAAAAATTTTAAATGAAAAAAAAAAAAAGCCAAGATTGATCAAGAGCTTATTATGTGCCTGTTTATTGTGGCCCTTTGTAACCACGGGTGCCACATTCACGGATTCAACGCACTACAGCCCAAAAATATTCAAGAAAACTGCATTTGTGCTGAACACACATACAGACTTTCCTCTTGTCAGGAGTCCCTGTGCGGTGCAGCAGGACAACTGTTTACACAGCATTCCTGCTGTTGGGTCCAAGAAGTCATCTAAAGACGATTTAACACATACAGGAGAATCTACACTGGTTGACACACAAACACCACACCATGTCATTCACGGAAGGGACTTGAGCTCCTTGAATACCGGTGTGTGAAAGGTTCCCGGAGCCAGTCCCCAGTAGATCCCAGGGGACAACTGCCTTGGCACTCTGAAAGCTCCTGTAAGCACCTAAAAACCCCTAGGACTGCGGAAGTGATAGCTCCACTGCATAGAAACCAAAGCACCAGTGCTTCCCATCAGTCTTTGCTTCCTCCTGCCAACGTCACCTCCAGCCAATGCTGTAGACACTGCACTAAGCGAACCCACAGACTGAATAGGATCAACCTATGTGCACATTACAGGAAGTGAAGAACCATCCGAGAGACAAAGGTAGCATCAGGAATTGCTCTTTTAGCCAGGTGTGGTAGCACAGGCCTGTAATCTCAGCTACTCAGGAGGCTGAAGCAGGAGGGCCACAAGTTTCACACTAGCCTGAACAACTCAATGAGACCCTGTCTCAAAAAATATAAAAAAGTGGGGATGTAGCTCGGTGGTAGAGCACTCCTGGATCAATAATATCAATCAATCAATCAATCAAAAACAGGCCAGCCATGGTGGCATACACCTGTAATTCCAGCATCCTGTGAGGCTGAGACAGGAGGATCCTAGTTTCAAGCCAAACCTCGGCAACTTAGCAAGACTGTCTCAAAAATAAAAAATTTTAAAAGGGCTGGAGATATGGCTCAGTGTAAAGGCCCTGGGTTCAACCTCTACTACCAAATAATAAATAAGTCAACCAACAGCTAATATACACTCTGTAACAGACATCCCTTCCCAATACTAATGAGCTGTGAGTGGCACATGCTTCTTGCCTTCCTTAATTTGGCTCTACTGTTTTATATCAGGAGTCACACCAAAGTGACTCAAATGGGCATGTGAGGTAGCAGAGTTGGGCCAGTGTCACACTCCTTTGCTAACGGCTGTCACCGAGGCCTAAGTCCTGGTCTGTGGAGTGGCAGGGCCCTGCTGAGTTCCATGAAGCTGAGGTCAGCGTGACCCAGTTAAAACCCTTTCCCCTGAATTATGGCTTCTCACTGACCCGATGAGTTGCTTGCTAATTGCACCCAGTCCCAGTACTGGTTTCTTCTATCCTAGCAAGATAAGCAGTGCCGACTTCCTGACAGCCCTGCCTGGCACCATCATGCCAGGAGTTCAGTACTATTTACTAGATGCCTTCAAAGCACACCCTGCTCCCTATTCCTTCCCATGATTGTATTCAATAAATAGTGGACGTGGTTAGGGGCCTTTGTCTTTGCTGCCATCAGCAGGACTGACCAGGACCCAAGGCTCAGCTCCTACACTCTGAGTCTCATTTCTGTCTATTCTTGAATTTGCCTTGTGCTGTAGTGGCTCACAGGAGGCCAGGACCCACGGCAGAGGTTCTGACAATGCCCCCTTCCCCATTCCCTAAAATACACTTTTGGTGGGGAAAAAAGTCTCATATGGTATAATGAGAGCTACCAATGTGTAAATGCTCACTCACTACAGGCCTCTGCAAGAGAAACAGACTTTTTTATGTGATAGTCACCCTTACTTCTTCATACACGGCACCCTGGTATTTTCTACTTTCTTTCATTAAAAAAATACTGTGCAGCATCTGAGATTGGGGTCTAACTCAGTAGTAGACCAATTATCTCACATTCTAGGCATTGGATTTGAATCCCAGGGCCACAGGGGGAAAAAATGAGTTTGATGTTCAATGTTCAATGAGGATTTAAACCATTAAAAAAATGGGCTCCAGATTTGGGAGGTGGGTTGCTTGCTTGGCTTTGTTTCTGTTGCATTGCTACAGACTAAACCTAGGGTCTTGCCCATGTTAGGCCAGCACTGTACCACTGAGCTATTCCCACAGCCCAAGGGGTCCTCATTTTAGGGCATTTTGGGAGGATCAAATACAAGTAGTGGCACTGCTTCTGGAGGTGGCCAAGGGACCCATATATGTGAGGACAGGAGACGTTACCAATAGACTCTGTTTGGTCACTCTTTAAACGCACTCCTGTTGACAATTTAGCTCAGTGGCACCACGCCTGCCTTGCAAGGGCAAGGTCCTGAGTTTGATCCCTGGTACCAAAACTAAATAAATAAATAAAATGTACTCCTGAGCACACGTGTTCCCACCTTGCCAGAGAGTAGTGGGGTGTTTGGCAGAAGAAAGGAAAAAACTTAAACTTGAGTCATGGAATAAGCCCTGGTGAGCCTTCCTGGTCTCCCCCACCCCCAGGCAAAGCCCCAGTAAATGGCTCTGTCCTCGGCCCTCCCACCCCATACATGGGCACTCAGAGGCAGCAGTCAGGCACCTGCAGGGAGCTGTGGACAGAAAGGAGGCAGGAAGAGGCAGAGGCGGCGGCAGGGTGGACGGAGGGGTCCCGCAACACCACCAGCTGGCGGTCTGTCTTCTGGGTGAACAGCAGCTGGGGAGAGGGGACAAAGGTTAAGGAGAAACAAAGGACTACAGAGAAACCACTCATTTCCACAAGTTCTGACCCAGCCTCCATTTTTCAGACGGAAAAAACAAAGGTCTGGTTACATGGGGGTCAGAATATCAGACTGTGATCTTTAATGTCCAGTCTCCCAAGGCGAGGGCTGTGTGCAAAACTGCTGCTTCCCTGAGAAGGAACAGCTGGGGCCTGAACTCCTGCGTACTAAGGATAAAAGATATCAGGGGTCTTCAGGAGGAGGAGCTGGGGGCCTGGATCCCCGGGTCTGAGGTAGGAGGCTGGGCCTGGACCCCCAGGTCTGAGGGAGGAGTGTCTGATAGGTGCTCAAAATCCCCATACCTTAGTGTGTGCTTGCTTGGACTCAGAGAAATCCCCACCAAATGCTCCCTGAAGGCAGCGACTAAGCTCCAGCAGCCGGCTCCGTTCCTAGGGGACGACATCATGGCTACCACATCTCAGAGTCAGAACAGGCTGTCTCCATAGCTTGCCTGTTGCTGGGAAACATCTCAGGTGTGGGAAGATGACAGGAGGCCAGCGGAAGCGAGGACTCAGACAGGTCCCTAAGGACAGGTCTCCCGGGGCAGACTCACCTGTGTCAGGGCCTGGAGGGCCTCCTCCTTCTTCCGGCTTAGCTCCCAGCTCTCGGCTGCCATCTGCTCCCCCAGAGACTTCAGCTGCTCCTCCAAGACCTGGATCTGGCGCTGCAGAGCACCCCTGCCTGGTTACTTAGCTGCCCCGGGCCCCAGCCTCTCACTGAAACCGGAAGATCTGAGTATCCACGGCCAAGGACCCTGACTTAATCTCCCCAGTGTCCTCTTCTCTTTGGGAGATCTAAACAAGATCTAGGGTGGGTGGAGGGGACGGAGAATCTGATGTACAGGCAGAGGCTGAGGGGGACAGAGACCCAGAGGTCATCAAGAACAGAAAGAAAGGGACCACCAGTGAGACAAAACAGAGCAGGCCCAGAGTGCAGCAGCCAGGACAGATCTAACACAGAGATGTGGACAAACTGCAGAGAAAGGAGACAAGGTGAAAACAAAATAGAAATAGACAGACAGAAACTATCTGAGACAAAGGGAAAGTGTAGCTGGGCGTGGTGGCGCACGCCTGTAATCCTAGCACTCGGGAGGCTGAGGCAGGAGGATCGCTGTGAGTTCAAGACCAGCCTGGCTACATAGTGAGTTCCAGATCAGTCTCAACTACATAGTGAGACCCTGCCTCAAAAAAAAAAGAAAGAAAGAAAAAAGAAATAAAAAGAAAGGGAAAAGAGAGGGACAGGAAAAAGATACAAAAGGAAAAGTGAAGGAAGTCTAGTCCTCACCAAAGCTTTCCAATCCCAAAGGGTATGGTGAATCATGGCCCTTTTTCACACAGGCCTTGTCAGGGCCTTGAGAGGGAGGCACAAATAAAGGACCAGTGGGTACATCTGTTTTGGATAAAGGCTTGAGAGGCACGAGAGGCATGAGTGAGGCAGCGAAACCTGAAGAGGTTTATCAGACATTTTTTGTTTAAGGACTGAGTTCTGTTCCTGCTACTAGGTCATACAATATTCAGAAAAAAGAATGGTCAAAGGAAATTCCAACTTGTTGACTTGCTTTTATTTGCATAACTCTTACATGCAGTGCTGTAATGTACAACAGAACATAAAACTATAACACCGTATTGTACTGTACAATCAGCAAAAACAACAGCACTGCACACCAAGGTGTATGGTATATTGTACAAAAAAAAGACACTGAAGCTCTAGAAACAAGATGTACAGAACTGTACAAAAAAAAGGCAGGTCATAGGTCTGGGCCGAAGAGTCATTAAACAGGTCATAAACGAGCAGCACCTACATTTCAGCTCTACCCTTTGTGAACTAAGTGACCTTGGGAAAGACTGTGTGAGCACCCCATAGCACCCGAACCATTCGTTTATTGCAATTCTGGGGACTGAATCAAGAGCCTTTCCCGGGTGACATCGCCAGGACCTCCCCGCTTTTATTTGAGACAGGGTCTCACTAAGTCACCTGGGCTAGTCTCAAACTTGGAACCCTCCTGTCTCAGCCTGGGATTGCAGGAGTGTGCCACCATGCCCAACTGTTCCCTCATTTTCTTTCTTTTTTTTTTGGTTTTTTGAGACAGGGTCTCACTATGTAGTTGAGACTGACCTGGAACTCACTATGTAGCCGAGGCTGGTCTCAACTCACAGCGATCCTCCTGTCTCAGCCTCCCAGAGTGCTGGGATTAAAGGCGTGCAACCACCACGCCCCCGGCTATTCCCTCATTTTCATAGAGGAACAAAAGAACAGGACTCACCCCATAGGTTTGCTATTTAATGAATGCATACTCACAAAGTGATTAAAACCATGTCTGGCACAGTGTCAAAGAGCAGAGGACAGAGGCAGGGCTAATTGCTGAGACTCACCTTGTGCTGAGCCACACTGGCCTGAAGCTCCTGGACCCTGGGGTCTGGTGCTTGAGCCCCAGGGCTCTCCTGATCCTCCTCCTCTTGCCGGCTCTCCCGCTCCAATTGCTGGAATTCCAGGTCCTCATAGGCACGCTGGGCCACCTCCAGCTGTTCCCTTAGCTGGGGACAGGGACACCAAAAGGCTGGAGGCCTGGACCCCCTGGGGCCCCGGGAAGCAGTCACCTGAAGCTAGAACTCCTAGGTCTAAGGGAAGAGGGCTGCGGCCTGCACTCCTGGGCCTGAGGGAGGAGAGGCCTGAAAGCAGACCCCTGGGCAGATGCTGAGGGCTCTCACCTCCTGCACCTGCTGCAGAAGCTGCTCATGCTGGTCCTCTGGCTGCAAGTCCAGCTGTCCTTGGGCCTCTGTGAGCCTCTGGTGAAGACTCTCCACGCGTTCCCGTTCCCGGCATAGTCGCTGCTGCTCCTGAAACATCAATTAGGCTCTCAGCCTCAGCCTGAAGGCCAGCCCTGGGCGTCAGCTTGTGGAAAGCAGGGACCCCTAGCTATGTGGTTCACTCTTGTACAGGCCTAGGCCAGAGCAGACACCAAGTAAACGGGCTTTTAGGAAATGAGTGAAGGAAGCTGGGTGTGATAGTGCACGCCTGTAATTCCAGCACTCTGGAGGCTGAGGCAGGAGGATCACTGCCAGTTCAAGGCCAGCCTGGGCTACATAATGAGTTCAAGGCCAGCCTAAACTATATGGTGAGACACTATCTCAAAAAAAAAGAAAACAAAAGAAGAAATGAGTGAAGGTATTAATGCGAAATGTGTTGTGCTAATACTGGGTTCCCAGAAGTGGGCCAGACCCAGGCCCTGCTCAAAAGCGGGGGACACAGCCAGTTAATACCCAGGATAATCACCACCCCAAAACACAGAGAGGTGGGAGCGTGAAGCAGGGAACAATTTCTGCTTCCGGGATGTGGGCTTCAGGTGAGCCTCAGAAACCAGGGAGGAGGGCTGGGGCCACAGATTTCTGGGTCTGGTCTAAGGGAGGAAGGAGTACCCAGGAGCCAGAATCAGGGGAAGCAGGGCATGTAGAGCTCAGGCTCTTTGACTGTAAATGAGGGCTTGGGACCAGCCCCAGGAAACTCCATAGCCCACATGCCTGACAAGACTGATCCAATTGCAAAATCTCCATTTTCCAACCTATAATGATCACCTCCCAGCAGTGCCCACGGGCAGATGTTAAAATCTTTAGACAAAGGTTCTTAAGTGGAGATCAGGGAGGCCTGAACTTGCACAGACGATGTCCCCAAAGGCCCAAGCACATCAGATTCAGTCTTGCAGCCAAAGGGCCACCTGCTTGCGGAAACAGAGGTCACCGCCGCCAGTCACACAGGCAGGCAAACCGGCCACATCTTGCCGCCGAGACCGAAGATTTGGTTTCTCCAACAAATAGCATGCAGCAGACAGAGTGGGTGAGACCCACTACTCACAAGGAACACACACGTGAGACACATTAACCAAGCACAACTCATGGCCTTCCCTGGACCTAATTCACACAAGCCATCTAATTCTTTGGAGGGATGGGGGTTGGTTTTACGAAGGTTTTTTTAATTGTTGTTTTGTTGTTGTTGCTGTTTGAGAATAGGTCATCCTGTGTAGTTCATACTGGCCTTGAACTCACTAAATAGCCCCAGCCCAGTACTCCACCTAATTCTTAAAGCCAGATAGTGAAGGATGAGGGGTCACATGCCTGTAATCTTATCTACTCAGGAGGCTGAGGCAAGAGGATGGGAAGTTTGAGCCCAGCCTGGGCAAAGTTAGACCTTACCTCAAAATAATAATAATAATAATTAATAATAATAATAATAAAAGGGCTGGGGGTGTGACTCATCACTCCTTGGATTCAGTTCTCAGCACCACAAAACAAGAAGAGAAGTTCTCACTTGCAAATGGTACAGACAAGTTATCCCAACGCGCCAAGGCGTCGTCTCTCACCCTCTCCCAGCGCCGCCTTGGGGAGCGGGGGTTCCCGGGTACCAG